TAACAAGCATGCAGCTAGTGAAGACACTAGGGGTTGGGGGCAATAAATTTTGATCAATGACACATCCTAGCAATTTCAAATGGAAACAACCGATGTTCCCTTTAAGAACAACAAACAAGTCATTTAAAGCTGAACTTAATCCTAAAGGGGAAGTTCCTCTTTATGCCCTCCTCCACTTCTACTTTTGACCCTTTGTGGTGAAGGGGGATTTTGACAGGTACCCACTTCTGGCTGGATCACTGTGGTAATCCACCGGAGGTTCTCCTCCCCCCCCCCCACCTGTAACCTTGTGGGACATGTCACAGGCCCAAGAAGGATGCAGGAATATTCCCAAAGCGCAGCACGCTTCACGCATGTGCAATGGAAAGCTGGCTGTGAAGCTGCAAGGAATCCTAGCCAACTGCCCACATTAAACATGCCTGCACCAGGGACCCAAAGACCAGCAAAGAGTCAGTTTGGGTGAGGACAGCGTTGGACCCCTGGACTGGTAGGCAATACCCTTAAATTAGCTAGATGGATAAAAATTTGACCATTTCAACAAGGTCTGGACAAATTTCAATTCATCTATGGCAGACTGATTGTACAGCAGGGATCGACAAATCCCAGGTGCCAGGTCGCCATGGCGACCAGAAGATACGACCTAGTGCTGTTGTCAGCCCCAGTGGTGTAGCATGGGGGAGCACACCCGGGCGCAACATTGCCAGGTGGCCCGGCAGTTGTCACTGTGCCATGTGTGTGTGAGGCCAGGAGTAGGGAGGAGCAGCGCTGTGAGGGGGGGGTAGGGGAGATACGGGGCTGTAGGGTAGTAGGAGGGGCGGGTTGGAGGAGCGAAGCTGACCGGAAGTGTATGGCTCTCAGTGACACCTCCTGCTCCAGGGAGACTCTCAGCCTCACTTCAGAGCAGGCAGCTTTGAACGGGCTCAGCAATGGCCCTGAGCTGGACACCCCCTCACAAGGGAGCCGCAAGGTGTTCTGGTTTCCAACCTGGACAAGCTCCAACTGCGGCTCAGAGTTGGGTCTGGGCAGCCCTGGAGCCCTTCTGACAGCCGGTGTGGCCGCCTATCAGTGCCTCATCAGTGTCCATATCAGTGTAGCCTCATCAGTGGCTCTATCAGTGCAGCCTCATCAGTGATCCATCAGTGCAGCCTCATCAGTGTCCCTATCAGTGCAGCCTCATCAGTGTCCCTATCAGTGCAGCCTCATCAGTGTCCCTATCAGTGCAGCCTCATCAGTGTCCCTATCAGTGCAGCCTCATCAGTGCCCCTATCAGTGCAGCCTCATCAGTGCCCCTATCAGTGCAGCCTCATCAGTGTCCCTATCAGTGCAGCCTCATCAGTGCCCCTATCAGTGCAGCCTCATCAGTGCCCTATCAGTGCAGCCTCATCAGTGTCCCTATCAGTGCAGCCTCATCAGTGCCCCATCAGTGCAGTCTCATCAGTGCCCCTATCGGTGCAGCCTCTTCAGTGCCCCATCCGTCAGCCTCATCAGTGCCCCATCAGTGCAGTCTCATCAGTGCCCCATCAGTGCAGTCTCATCAGTGCCCCATCAGTGCAATCTCATCAGTGCTCATCAGTGCAATCTCATCAGTGCCTCATCAGTGCCCATCAGTGCCCCAGCTGCAGCTTCATAAATACCCCATCAGTGCAGCTTCATCAATACCCCATCAGTGCAGCCTCATTGGTGCCCATCGGTGCAGACTAATCACCGCACATCACTGGAGAAGAAAAATTACCTAGTTGAAGAAAAAGGTTTTTTTTTTTTTTTTTCAAAATTTTCGAGAATTTTTTGTGTATTTAGCAAAAAATAAAAACCCCAGTGCTGATTAAATACCAATAAAATAAATCTATTTGTCTCAAAATAATTATATTAATAATAATTATAATAGTAATAATAATAATAGTGTTGCATGACCGCGCAAATGTCATTTAAAGTGTGACAGCGCTGAAAGCTGAAAATTGCCCTTGGTATGAAGGGGGAGAAAGTAACAAATAGACAAGTGGGTAAAAAAAAACTGGCTTCTAACTTCTTTAGCTGGCTCCCAGATTCAAAGCACGTTTGTCAAGCCTTGTTGTACAGAAGTCCATCTCTTGATCGATTTCTGTACAACCAACCTGTTGAAAAATTTTTCACTTAATCATTGCTGCCGGTGGTGCTGAGGAGTGTATTCTGATGGCAAGCCTCCCCGCTGTCAGAATACATTATCTGTGCGGGAGTAACCCCCCCCCCCCTCCCCAAGCACCTTGATTGTGTGGATGGGGGAATCAATAAATTTTCTTTTTGTTCAACCCGTTGGTTGAATGAAAGAAAATGATTCATGTATGACCTAACTTATTCTCCAAACATAATTCATGCACAGTGCATGTTAGTTGCGGTCCTGTGTACTGCTCTATGTACACAACACATCTCATAGTTCACAATCCACAGTCCATCTAGGGAGTGAGCCAGAGAGGGTGGCTATGTTCCTACATACTGTGAGATCATGAAGAACAAACATAGCCACCCCTTAAAAGCAGCAAAACCAACTGGTTTCAGGAGGCTGGAAGCCATAGGGCAACGTGGGGGGGGTCATAAGATCATGAGCATTATTCATCACATCTTCTGGCAGGAAAACAGTTCTTATATTCAGCTGTAGATTTAGCTATTTGTTTGGCGTTGTCCTTCAGATAAATCTGAATGTGTTTAGAACCCATCGCACAGTCTATAAATCTGAGCCCATGTGTCCGGGCAGCTCTGTCTGCAGTGTGCCAGTGTTAACAGTCAAGAAAATCCATAACTCATTTCCCGTTTTTCACTTCTGGGAACAGCCACCCTGGGCATCACAAGTGCTTGGCACTGTTTTCTGGACAATGATGAATATCACATTCATGAATTTTCAGGAAACTTTCAAACATGTTAATGAGCTTAGAACAAAATTTGAAGGATGTGTTATGAAAGGTTTAAATGATTAATGTATTTAGAAGGAGAACAGAAGTTCTTGGAAAATTGGCCAGTTTGGTGTGCACAAATAGTGATTGCAAATGGCAGAGCTAGCAAAAAGGCCAAAACATCATCATCTGCAGTAATATATTCTAAAAAATTAAGAAATGACCAAATTGAAAGTTAAAGAATATATAAGCCAAAACTTTCTTTAGTTTTGGAGAAGTGAGTGGTATGCAACCCGGCAAAGTCTTTATTGCTGCCTGTGTCCCCAGAGAGAAACCTTCTCTATTTGTCTTGGTGACCATTGTTGTTGGGGTTGAAAGTGATGGAAAATCTAAGATTTTGAGCTCTAATTGGTGTCAGAACAAAGGGGAAATCTTTTTATAGTGATGTTTGTTAGGTTGACTTTGGTCCCTTTCACATGGGCAGACCAATCAGGTTTACTTGTCCACTTGCGTTGCGTTGATGACATCAGCTTGAGATGCTTTTGAGATCCTTCAGAATTCATTGACAGGTACACCTGACATGCACTGGTCTTGCTTGCATTCCTGGTGACCATTGTCGTTGGGATTGAAAGTGATGGAAAATCTAAGATTTTGAGCTGTAATCAGTGTCAGAACAAAGGGGAAATCTTTTTATAGTGACGTTTGTTGGGTTGACTTTGGTCCCTTTCAAATGGGCAGACCAATCAGGTTCGCTTGTCCACTTGTGTTGCGTTGATGACATCAGCTTGAGATGCTTTTGAGATCCTTCAGAATTCATTGACAGGTACACCTGACATGACATGCACTGGTCTTGCTTGCATTGCTATAGACTTGTATTTGAATGCAACACCTGCTGGAAGCAAACAAAAGTCCCTCAACATACCAAGTGTGACAATATAACTCCTGGAATGGACTGTAAAAGAATATATATATTTGCTTGTCTATACACTAGCAGCTGTTGCCACCTTCGAAGTAGTCCTCTTGTGAAGCATCACACTTTTCTAGATGACTGTGCCACTGCCAAAAACATTCCAGGAACTCGTTTTCCAGAACGCTACCCAGTATTTTTGTCGCAGTACTCACACTTGCACTATATGCAGCAACAGGGGGCACATCACTGCACATCTGTACATTGGTGGTGTGCTGGAAGACCAATGCAGTTTTAATTTACTGTTTATGTCCATTGGGGTGTAATTCAAAATGCATTAACTTGTGTTGCTGTTAAAGGTACAAGTGTGAAAGCAGCTCAAAACAACAACCTTCTTTGAGTCAGCGACCCAAATCAAGTATTTAGACTTCAGACACTTCTATAATTTTACTGAGCTCTGTACTTGTGACTTAGCAAGTAATGAAGTTGAAAATGCAGCATAAAAGCCAAGCAGTTGGCATTTTCAGAAGCAGGTCAGTAGTGTCAAACCCCAGATTTCTTTAATGACAGGTACTTTGAAAGCAATGAATCAAGCAGGTACGAGGAGCTATAACAAAAGGAGTTTTAATTTTAGCACAAGGATGCATTTATCCTTAAAGAATATGTAAACCCGACATATCATGCTCCAGATATGTGTCTGCTGTACCATGTTATCCTGTTCTCTTTGTATTGCTTCCTTTGTGTGAAATCCCTGGTGTTCTTGCCAGTCTCTCTGTTTCCTAATAATAAAAAACTGACCACGCTAGGCATAGCCCAGCATTGTCAGTTCTCTAGCTGTACTGGGAACCAGCCTCCTCTCCTACAATGATCAGACTTGTCCTGACACACCACCCACTGCAAAGCCATTCACTAGGAAGATCAGTGTAATGCTGTTTATCCTCCCCCAGCTCTTATGCAGCTGAGAACAGGGCAAAATGGTATTTATTTATTTTTATATCTATACAATGCTTTGCCTTTCATTTTAACTACTTGCCAACCGCAGATAGCCGAATGACGGCTACACTGCGGCTGGACAGTTCTGGGAGGGCGTCATATGGCGTCCTCCCAGAACACGCTCTCCTGCGCGCCCCCCGGGGACACAGCTGATCACGTGATGTGGTAAAAGGCCAATAACAGCGGCCTTTTACCACGTGATCAGCCGTGTCCATTGACACATTGATCACCGGGAAATGCAATTGCCAGTTCTCGGCTGCACTTTCCTCACGCTGTCAGAGCGTGGGGAAAGTACTGCTGAGAACCGGCAGTTGTCAGAGCAGGGATCGGCACCGATCATCAGGGCACTGATGATCAGTGCCCTGATGATTGGTGCCCAGCAGTGCCGCCCACCAGTTCTGCCCACCTGTGCCCAGCAGTGCATCCACCTGTGCCCAGCAGTGCCACCTACCTGTGCCCACCAGTGCCAATCAATGCAGTGCTGCCAGTCAGTGCCACCAGTCAGTGCCAGCGGTTGTGCCAGTCAGTACCCAGCTGTTGCGCCAGTCAATGCCTAGCAGTGGCGCCAGTCAGTGCCCAGCAGTGATGCCAGTCAGTGCCACCTATCAGTGCTGTCTATCAGTACCCATCATCAGTGCCGCCTATCAGTGCCACCTATCTGATGCCTCATTTGTGCTGCCTATCAGTGCCCTTCAGTGCTGCCTATCATTGCCGCCTATCAGTGCCCATCAGTGCTGCCTCATCAACGCACATCAGTGAAGGAGAAAAATTACCTGTTTGAAAAATGTTATAATAGAAACAAAGAAATTTTTTTTTTCAAATTTGTTTTCGCAATTTTTTTTTGTTCATAGCGCAAAAAGTAAAGCGCCCAGCGGCGATTAACTACCACCAAAAGAAAGCTCTATTTGTGAGAAAAAATGATAAAAATTTCAGATGGGTACAATCTTGCATGACCGCGCAATTGTCAATCAAAGTGCGACAGCACTGAAAGCTGAAAATTGGCCTGTTAAAGAAGGGGGTATAAGTGCCCGGTAGGCAAGTGGTTAAACTGAATGGGTTGTTTTACAAGGTAAGCGTTCACATATACTTTAAGGCTGGCTTCACACTGTGGCTCTGTTCATTACAGTGCTAATCATTTAGAATGGTGAACCAAAGCACAAGTACAGTAGCAGCCAATGTATGAAGCAAATACATTCTTTGTTATGTGCCATTTGAAAAAGTGGTGCAGGTCTGATAAATCCAGTGTTATAGTGTGCTGGCGGCCCATTCAAAATCCATGAGCTGCCTTACCGCAAGGTACGGTAACACGTTGATTCCCCCTAAAGTAGGCCTCTTCTTTCATTTTAGAAGCATAGGACTGAAGAGTGGGAAACTTTGTATAGAAACTTTGAACAGCTAACCATATCGACCAATCAAACTATTTGTCTAATTTTCTCAGGGAACGAAAACTGCACTGTATGGAATAACAGATCAATTTCTATTTGACTTTGTTCATGTTTTCCTCCATCAGCCATCATTGTTCTGGCCACGCTGGGGTTTCTCCCCCTCCTTCTAGTAGGCCAATTAATGCATAACATTTGTGGCCACATCAGCCTCTGTGCAGACACATGCCTATTGAAGGCTAGTGAAGGACAAGTAAGACACATTTACCAAGCTGGGAAGGACAATGCCTTCGTTAGCACATGAAAGGATCTCTGGGGTCCAAATGATCCAATTTTGGCATGCTTTCAGCCTGGGAAGCAGGTGGTGACCAGACCGCAGCCTATCAAAATTCCTTTCTCCAAAAAAAAAAAAAAAAAAAAAAAAAACCTTTAAACAAGTAAAGGCATCTGCTCATATGAAAGAAGGGTTCTGCGAGTCTTCACTCACTCTGTCCTATCTGAGCAGCGTCCTGCAAAAAAATGACTTACAGGTGACCCCACTGCTGGGAATGAGACAAGAATATATTATGCAGCACGTCACTTTGTAAATAGGACAGATAGTTGTATACCATGATGGGAATGCACATTAATCTACAGACACAAAACATCTGTTAGGGAACATCAGCTGCAATGTGTATGTTTGGAGTCAGAATAGGGGTGTTACATAAAATTCTATAAAAATTCTAAATAATTGGCATTTTCCATCCATCTGAAATGAGATGGCAGATTGCATTTTAGCAAGATGTCTTTTTAGGCATGAGGTTAGCCATACACCGGAGATATGTCCCTAAGACTGACTGCCAGGAGATATCTGCCCATTTTTTGTAGTGCCAAGACCTGCTGCTGTTTCCTATGCAAGTAATGTGATGGACTAACGTGGTGCAGATGCGGCTAATACAGGGGTGTCAAACTGGTGGCCCTCCAGCTGTTGCGAAACTACAAGTCCCATCATGCCTCTACCTTTGGGAGTCATCTTGCAATGCCTCATGAGACTTGTAGTTTGGCAACAGCTGGAGGGCCACCAGTTTGACCCCTGTGGGCTAACACCTTATTTCCTCTTCTTAATGAGAAGGCAGCAGGATCATGAGCAATGATATAGCTTCCAATGGCTGAAAGTGCTTGTCATCATCCTCTAGGGTCCTCACGTTGATTGGGGCAGGATCACAGCACTTGTGGTCACCCTTAAGCTCACCATACAAGTTACTTTCTGACTATACAATCATCTTTTGACTCCTACCTAAACCACACAACCGCTAAGTACAGTAGCTTAATGGTTAGCACCTATCTTGCAACACCGAGGTTCTGTGCTTGCATGGGCTTCCTACGTCGGGTACTCTGTTGCCTTACACATTCTGAAGACATTCTGGTAGGTTAATTGGCACCTGTCTAAATTGGCCTAGCATATACAGGGGTTGGATAAAAATACGGAAACACTACATGATTTGCAGATGTGAAAGTGACAACACTTCGCATTACAGAGACTATGTACAAATTTTGGCCATCTACGTGCACCCATTGTTACCCAAAGACAGCACCATTTGCTAAGACGATAATGCTCTCATTCACACAGCTGGTGTTGTCAAATCATGGTTTGACAAGCATGTAGATGAAGTCTTGCACCTTCCTTGGGCGTCGCAGTCACTGGACCTCAATGTCATAGATCCACTATGGTCAATTCTGGAGAACAAAGTTTGGGCACATTTTCCGTCTCCGCCATCTTTGCAAAAACTGGAAGTATTTCTGTATGAAGAATGGTATCAGATTCCATTTTCCACCATCCAAGACTTATATTTGTCAATTCCCAGGAGAATTCAGGTCATCTTGGATGACAAAAGTGGTTCAACACCATTGTTAGGTAACAATTTTGTAATTTTACCTGGCGTTTCCATTAATTTGTCCAACCCCTGTATGTAGAAATTGACTATGTGCATATGCTATCATGGCGGTCCTAAGCCTGTGAAAATGGGGAGGCTGGAGGAGAGATCTGGTAACCTACCTTGTGAAAAATTTGCCAAGAAATTTCTATGGAAAAAAAATACTCTCTAGCATATTGGACACGGTGCCCAGAAATGTGGCCAATAGTCTAGTTAAGAGTCAGATATGACTGTACAGATATATACATACATACATAAACTATCCAGTTGATAGTTTGTGTGTGGTGAGCTTTAGATTTGTTCTGCAAGAAAGATATAGAGGACACATGTACAGAGGGGTTTAGGTGCAAAAAAGAATGGCTGTACCGCTAAGATAAGGATGGTTAGGAGGCCAGATATGCAATATGCAGCAGAGGTGCCTGCTCTGAATTGTGGGAAAGAGAGAGAGAGGGGACATGCTTAAGTAAATCTATATCCTTACAGGATGATATTTAGTTTGCTAAAGTGCTGTGTATCATAAATTGTTTATTTTTAAATTTTCTTTGAATGCCTTCCAGTCTCTTTCAATCATTTCTTACCTACATGCACTCACCCCAGCACTGGCTGCAACATCATTGCTCTGGGCAGGCTTCCTGATGATGAAAAGAGTAGAAACATGCCTGCAAAATGAGGGTCGGCATGGGCACTTATAGTCTTCACTGGAAGACCATGTGATGGAGGGTGGCAATGCAGAAGACCAACTGGTAGACAGGGACAGAGTGTTGTCGCCCCTTAAAGGAAGTGCCTGAACAAGGTCCTTCATGTCAGAATCATCGTTTACCATGTTATTCAAAACTTCAATTAAATGGACTGAAAATTACTTCTGAAACAACATCAACATGTGAAAGACCACAAGAAAATTTGATGATTGGGTTTCCTACTTTTAACACTGCTTTAGCATTTGAGCTTCATTCAGCTAATTGGAAGGAAGTAGACTCTTCGGGGCCAGTAATTACATTAGAATACTTCCTAAAGCCGGATTGCCCAACAACAGGTTTGCTTTAAATATAAGATTTGTAACCCGCTATAACCCTAATTTCCCATAAGCCTACATAGATGGCTGAAATGATCACAGAGGTAGGAGTGACTCCATCAACCAATAAGATGTCTCCACTAACTAAAAGAAAACTGTAATCACAATGGTTGCTATCAGCAACACTTGCAATTTTCTTTCTTCATTGTAATTACCTTTCTGGGAGCCACAGAACTGGCGGCTTAATGAAATCCAATTTGTAAGGGAATGTCAATAAGCGTGTTTGTGTTGGGATTTTACAGAACGTGCAGGCTGCGGATTTCTCTGTAGCAGACGGGGTCACAGAGCACACACTGACACAACATTCACTTCACTTACACATATTTACACATGGCAGTGAGCAAACACAGCCGCTCCAGTATTACAGCTCTGAGGAGAGTGTTGTGTGCGTCCTGATGAGAGGACAGGAACACTTCTGAGAAAAGCTGTGCCACAAGGATGGTCCTTCATAAAGTCATCACCAAAACCAAATTCAGTCTTACACAAGTCTGTGCTTTCTTTCATTCCCTTTGGGCATCAGGAACATTATGGGGTGATACTGATCTTTCTTTGGGCTTAAATCCTTTATATTTTGGCTCTCCTCCAGTGGGTCATGTGACTAATGCCAAAGCACTGATCATATAATCTCTGTTGGATAGGCGCAGAGGCTTGATATTTAGGACAAGTTGGCCAATTAAGGTTGCGGCCTAAACAGGTGTCTTTCCATTCACTTAAAATCATATGACCAATGTTGCAGAACATCTGCTCAGAGATTCTCCATCTTTATGTCTGTTGGATAGTATGAAGGTCTGACATTTACAAAGAGTTTGCCAATTACGGTTGTGGTCTGAACAAGCCACAAGAGCTTCTCCATCATATAATCTGTTGGACAGGCGTGGAGGCCTGATGTTTAGGGAGGAGTTGCACGTTTAAGGTTGTGGCCTGGACAGGTCTCCTTCCCTTCATGTAAGATCATATGACCAATGCTGCAAAACAGCTAGCACTGCTCACCTTTATCTCTGTTGAAAGGTGTGGAGGCCTGACATTTAGGAAGAGTTGGCAAATTAAGGCTGTGGCCTAAACAGGTCTCCTTCCCTTCACCTAAGATCATATGGCCAATGTTGCAGAACATTTAGCACTTCTCAGAGCTTCTCTATCTTTTTCTCTGTTGGATAGGCATGGAGAACGGACATTTAGGAAGAGTTGGCCAATTAAGGCTGTGGTCTGAACAAGCCACAAGAGTTTCTCCATCATATAATCTCTGTTGAATAGGACTGGAGGCCCAACATTTAGGGAGAGTTGGCCATTTAAAGTGGTTCTAAAGGCTGAAGGTTTTTTACCTTCAGTGTGTAGCTCCCCCCTCAGCCCCACCAAATACTTACCTGAGC